TTATTTTTATTTATTTATTTATTTTTTGAGACGGAGTTTTGCTCTTGTTACCAAGGCTGGAGTGCAATGGCATGATCTCGGCTCACCGCAACCTCCGCCTCCTGGGTTCAGGCAATTCTCCTGCCTCAGCCTCCTGAGTAGCTGGGATTACAGGCACGTGCCACCATGCCCAGCTAATTTTTTGTATTTTTAGTAGAAATGGGGTTTCACCATGTTGACCAGGATGGTCTCAATCTCTTGACCTTGTGATCTACCTGCCTCGGCCTCCCAAAGTGCTGGGATTACAGGCTTGAGCCACCGCGCCCGGCCAATTTCTTTTTAATGATAATACCAAGTGCTGGCAAAGATGTGAAGCAACTGGAACTCTCATACATTACTGGTGGGAATTCAAAACTACAGCAACAGTAATCAAATTAGTGGTTCCTAGGGGCTGGGATTGGGGAAAAATGTTAATAGTTGTTTATATTCTGTGTGCTGGCAATACAGGTTCATGCTTTGTTTCCTGTATTTGTTTATTTTTAAAAATTTCCTCCAAATAAAAATTTTTTTAATGAAGAAATATATACACTGTGCTAGATAGTCTCCATTTGCCCTTCCAAATAAATTTACTATCTTTCTTTTTTTCTGTTTTGTGCCCTGCGAGGCCCTTCCTGTTGGGTTAGGCACTAGCAGGAGTGAGTGGCTGAGAAGAGAAAAAGGTTGGGGTATTTATTCCTCCGGCTCCCTTCCTCAGGCAACAGGATGGCAGTGGCTGACTTTCCCTACAGAGGGCCACAGCTCCTGTCAAGGTATCTTCTACAACTACAACTTTAGCAAGAAACAGCCATCAAGTTCTTGGATTCTGGTTACCACTTCCTTTTCTCGTTCCTGTGGCCTTAATGATCATGGCTCCTAGCAGTTGCTATCATTCCTTGTTAATTTCCCTTAACATAGCTCATACCTTCGTAAATGGTCCCTTCATTAAATTTTTCTCAATTATCTAATTTGAGTGTGTGTTTTTTTATGTTATATGCTAATACCTTGCTAACTCTAGGTGCTACATAATTTGAATCAAAAAGATCTTTCTTCTGAAATCTTTAACAAAAGCTCATCAAATTAAAAAGTAGAAATTAATTCCTTGACTAAAAGGATATGCCATCAACTGTAGCACATAATTATCTATCCATCCATTTTAGCATTAGGTAGCCAGACAAAGCTGTTGCTACTTATATACCTGGGCTGCAGTATTTGACCATTCTGTTTGGCCACAGAATTATAATAATCAATCAGTGCCATATATATATATAATATATATATATTATATATGTGTGTATATATATAATTATACATATATATATAATTATACATATATATGTATATATAATTATATATATACACACATATATAATATATATATATACACATATATATAATATATATATACACATATATATATATTTTTTTAATGGCAAAACATGCATTGTACTCTAAATATGTTGAGTATATTGCTCACTAAATTTCACAATATAACCTTTATTATCACTTATAAAAGAAACTTTTCCTATGCTTAACTACTTTAAAAAACAAAACAGAACATTACACTGCATATCATTCCTCCCCTCTGTTTTGGTTTTGAAAAGATTCAGAGCAAAAATTATGATCCAGCTCTAGAAAGTATGTAAGACCTGGAAAGACAGTGTTTGTGTACTACCCTCATTCTCTGCTATGTATTCTTTTTCCTAGTCTTATTTTTCCTTAAATTATGTTTCTTTATTTTCATATATATAATATAGTTGCACACATATACATATATATTTACGTGTATGTATGTGTACATATATATATCTGCATGTGTATTTTTAAGGCACCTTAAATTCTTTCTGGCCTAGGCAGCAATATAAAGAGTACAAATTTATAGTTTCTTGACAGATGATTTCTATTAACTAAAAGCAAGAATATAGTTTAGCCATATTACTATTTAATCTCCATTTTATTAATGTAATCTAAAGATTATCTGGCCCAGAACTGTTCTAACCTTAAAATTTGTGCCCTTTACAAACTGTCTGCCCCTCTGAATATAAGTAACAGGTTCACTAGGTCTCCTGTCCGCATATGCTGAAAGAATCTTACATAATTTCAATTACTGTAAAGAATATTAAAATATCTGAAATGATTGGCTAAGTAATGACTAGCTTTCTTCAAAAAAACACATTTGAAGCATAAGAATGTATTGACTAACAACACAAACCCTTTAGTCAGACTGTCTGGGTTAACCCAATTACTAGATGTGGTAATTTGGACAAGTTACTCAAATTCTTTGTCCCTCAGTTTTCTCATCTGAAAAATGGAAAAGATAGTAAGAAAGTTGTGCAGATTCAATGAGATAATACATAAGAACAGAAACTGTCAAAATGAATATTAGCTACAATTATAGTAATAAAATACTTTTCCTGGAAAACATCTTTCCTAGAACTATCATAAAAATGATGATGATTTTCAAGGATCCAACTCAAAGCTTATTCAGAGCAAAGCAATGGTAAAAATTCTTCATGAGTAACAAGCAACATAAATAAAAAGTCACCACTTAAATTTTTTCTATTTATGTTCATTTCGTCAAGCCACTAATTCTACAGCTACTTAAGTTTATACTAGGCATTTGTTCAAAATGCACCATTAGATAAGGTGACTAAATCCTGTCAAAACTTTACCAGGAGGTATGTGCCCAAAGTAATGGTATTAGTCCATCTTACCTAGTTAAACCATTTTTTTCCTGTTAAACTTGGGCCTTTATAACTGATTGCTTCCATGTTGCATGTTTAACAAATATAAAGTCATTCCTCTTCTGTAGTCTCCTGGAGCTGGTTGATGCCATTGACATCAGCTGGTAAGAGGTGATTGTATATATCTTTTATTAACTCCATTATTCATATTTACACTATGGAAATCAACAATCAGGTTTTTTGTTTTCTTTCTGGAGAGCCCTTTATTAAAGTGACATTATCAGCATGTCACTGCTCCTAGTCTAAATGTACCAGCCTTCACAAAGTCTCAGAGTTAGAATACACGCAATAACTTTTATAATTGTAGAATACATCAAGAGCAAGTATTAGAGGCTATCCTGATTTGCATTTATCAAAGAAAGGTGGTGTTTTAAAAAACAACAAAACAATTGGGTTTCTATCTGGAAGACTCATATTTGTGAATCTAGCTTTTTGTTCTGGTTTAAAATGTGAGCATAAATCTTTTCTGTTGCAACAGTAACTACTGTCAGGATGCTGTTTGATGATTCCTTACATCAAATTAACTTGAAAATATTGATACATGATGTAAGTACCCTTAGAAATTCAGTCTGATTTATTCAAGTTTAACTATAGAACATTTTATTTTGTTCTGGAAATTCTATAAAGGCATTCTGCCAAAAGCATTAAATATTTGATTTTACTTGTTAAGATTTGTAGGAACTCCTTTAAATTTATTATAAAAAATAACAGCTACAGCAACACATTTTCCCCTTTCATTAAGGTAGTGAAAAAAAGAACTTTAAGAGCTTTTCCATAAAAATGCTCTAAAATATTCCATTAAAATTAAAAGGCAACTGCCATATCACACGTGGTCAGATTTAACTATTCAAAGTTATTTTAGGTATATCAGCCCCCAAAGACCAAACTACCTGAGAGTCCAGCTGTGTTCAAAGTAGACACGGATCTACAGAATTCAACCTCTACAGCAGGATAGGACTGGTACAAAGAGTTGTTAGACCAGAGAAGAAAAGAAGAATTCTGAGTCAATATTAGTATTCTACTCCCTGAAAAGACTCACTTGATTGTAAGATTATTGTTAAGGAAACAATCATCCCATGATGATCAGGGAGAAATCTATGATAGAGCAAGGAGCTTAGAACAAAAGCCCAATTCCAATAGTAACAGCCATGTGATCCCATGCCAGTAATGGTAAATTGAGAATCTTAGTAACAGATAATTTTCTAATTGTGAGAAATAATTGCATTTCAGTTGAGATCTTAAACTCTCATTATTACAAAAAGTATCTTTAAAATGCTACAACCATATGCATGTTTGTTGTTAACTATTATACTCCTTCTGGTATGGTTCTCCTTGCCTAGTTTTGTTTTATAACAATATTTATGCATTTTAAATATGGTTCAAACATTAGTGGCCACAAGGATACATAACTCCATGCATAAGTAACTTAATAATGTATTTCTTTTTTTTTTTTTTTTTTTTTTTGAGACAGAGTTTCACTCTTGTTACCCAGGCTGGAGTGCAATGGCGTGATCTCGGCTCACCACAACCTCCACCTCCTGGGTTCAGGCAATTCTCCTGCCTCAGCCTTCTGAGTAGCTGGGATTACAGGCACGTGCTACCATGCCCAGTTGATTTTTTGTATTTTTAGTAGAGACGGGGTTTCACCATGTTGACCAGGATGGTCTCGATCTCTCGACCTTGTGATCCACCCACCTCGGCCTCCCAAAGTGCTGGGATTACAGGTTTGAGCCACCGCGCCCGGCCTAATGTATTTCTTAGGGTGGTCTGTTATACATATATTTAATTAGCTTTGGAATCGGATCTTTAAATATTTGTTTTAATGTCCCAAATATCAACAAATAAAAGTACCCTACATTTTTCAAGAATTTATTATTGATTTTGTACTTAAATCTATTATCGTTTACCAGTATCCTTGTTAGGATCACCCAGAACCCCAACAAACTAACATAAGGTACTTTCACCTAAGTACCAGATGCTGATGTCTTTGGAATCTTATTTTTTGATATAAAAGAGAGTTATGGAAAAAAAAGGTAAACTAATAACCAGAATTTTTTAAAAAAATATGGACATAATAAGACAGTAACAAAATTAACAAAAAAAAGACTTGTCAATAATTGTTAACATTTTACTTTTTGAACCAGTGTTAGACACAGGATGTGAGAGCAGGAGTATTTTTGTTTTATTTGCTTTGTTTGTTTACAGTCAAGTAAGAAGTATAGGGCTTGAAACTATACATACCTGGGATATAATTCTGACTCCTCCATTTGCTTATTTGCTTGATCCTGAGAAAGTCACTCAGCTTCAAGTAACATCTGTTTCATCAGACTTCTTTTCAGGCCCATCAAATACTGAGAAAACAAAAGTAACAGACATAACTTTCATGACCTTATTTACATAAAAACCGTGCCAATGCTTAAAAAAAGGCAATAGTAACTAACATTGGATTAGGCCATTGCCTTTCCATGGAATACCCTTGTTTAAGAACTTCTCAACCTTTGCTTTAGAATGATTTCTTACTGTTAAATATGGCTATAATGTTAATCCTAAAAGTGAAGGATTTCTTCAAATGCACACACATCATCAGTACTTGCTTGCAGGCTAGTGGCCATTGGCTTTTCTTCCACCTAAACGAAGGAAGGAGCTGTTTCTAGTCTACTTGCCTACTCATTTACTGTGAGCTCAACTCTGTTACTTGGAAAGCTGCCATACATTTATGAGAGCCTAAGGGATATTAGATGATTATCATCCTTGTCTTGTTCCCTCCCACCCCACCAAATGCCCTGGCAAGGTTGCCGCACCTGGACACTGATTTCCCTGCAGAGTCCCTTGTTACCAGAATTGTGGAAAACTTGGACTGAGTTCAGAGAAGAGCTACTAAAATGGTTAAATGACTGAGGGGGCCAATTTATAAGGAACTCAGAAATGTTTGGTTAAGTGGTAATTACCCTTAAAAAGGTGTGGTGAAGGGCATTAAGTTTAAATTCCAAACCATACTTGGCAAGAGGCCTCCTTTCAGGCAGCCTCCACATTCAGAAATATTCTGAAGAAGGAATAGAATCTTACTTTTGCTTGAGCCTCCAACTCTTTCATAGGCTGCTTGGGTGGTATTCACACTCAAGTGTAGTAACCTCTATAAACAAGCACAGAAGGCAACACCACTAATGCAAAAAGCTCGTTTAAGACAAGTGAAGACTGCTTAAAGGAAAGTTTTCTCAGGAATCAGGAAGAACAAGCCTTGGCTGTGAAAAGCCAGTCCCTACATCCCAGTTAAGCACCTATCACACCCCACACAGGCAATATCTGCTTGATGGGTGGTGTCATTTAATAAGAACTGCGAGCTGAGTCCAAAGTATACACGTCTGTCTAAAATACACTGCTAGACCATTGATTCCATTTACCTGACAAGAGTTTCTACTTGACCAAAGAGGAAAACCTAAGAACGGCTATAATAGTCAAGAAAGCAGAATGAGAAAATTTCTTATAACAGCATTTTCCAAAATGTCTTCCAGGTGATGTCAGTATGTGTTATACAAATTAAAAAAGAAAAGAACCTAAAAACTGGAATAAATGAAGTTAAACCTTGTATGTTTATGATGTGTTTGTTTTTGTTAACAGTAAAACCCCTCAGAGCCATTAATATGCCAAAGCCTACCGTGTCTCACTAAGAAGAGTAGAGTGTATACTATACTATTTCCTAAATTTAGATTAAGCATGGAGTACTTTATTCTGTAAGCACAGGACCTTTGTATTCACAGCCACTTCCATAATACCTTTTACAATGCTGATATTCAGTAAATGAGCAATGAAAATGAATGAGTCAGTCTAGGCTAGAACCCAGGTCTTAAATCACAATCTACTCCTCTTTCCACCACATTCATATTCTAGTTACTCTTTACTTACAGTGAATCTTTTCACTCTATATAAATGAAATTAAATTTGTTAACCAGAAGCAGACTGATCTGAAACTACTAAAGCTCAAGCTTGCGGGCTTCTCATTGGGCTTCCAAGTCCCAAGAACTAAGTGTGTATTTACAGTGCTGCATCTACTTTTTACTTAAGGAGGCCTCAAAAAACTGTACAGCCTTCATGTTCTGCACAACCAGCTACTACCATATACAATGAAAATAAGTTTTTACCAAATGTATAAGTTGTCATTGAGATGACTGAACTGAAATTACTGATGTACTATGGATGAAAATACACTTTCGATTACTCTGGATTCATCTTTAAGAGATTTCATCTGTGTAACTGAAATGTAGATTCAAATAAGAAATAATTCTGAGTTCATTCTTTCTATACTCTTCATAATTATGTTAACTTCAATGATCTCACTTCTTTTTTTTGTCTGAGAAGGCATCTCGCTCAGTCGCCCAGGCTGGAGTTCAATGGCATGGTCTCGGCTCACTGCAATCTCCACCTCCCAAGTTCAAGCAATTCTCCTGCCTCAGCTTCCCAAGTAGCTGGTACTACAGGTATGCACTACCATGCCTGGCAAATTTTTGTATTTTTAGTAGGCATAGGGTTTTGCCATGTTGCAGGCTGGTCTCAAACTCCTGACCTAAGGTGATCACCTGCCTCGGCCTCCCAAAGTGCTGGGATTACAGGCGTGAGCTACCGTGCCTGATCCATCTCACTTCTTATATGCCTCTTAAGGTGTTTATCACTTCTACTATTGTTGTTTTTTTAAATAGGCACTTTGCCCAAAATAATCTTTCTTCCAATCTCCCTACCCTTCAGTATATTAAGACTATAAATACCCACTATGAAAACATCACATTGTAAATATTTCTATAGTTGGAATTCTTTCTGCAGACGACCAGACACTTCTGAATCACTTTTTTCTATGTAGTAGGGACTGACATTTATAAACCTGAATCTATAGTGGTACAATCTGGTGTTTTACTTCAATTCTTTAAAAATTCCAAGTATATGGACCTTGTCTTTTGAAATATCCTGTTGGCTGCCTGAGATAAAATAATTTCCAGCCTAATCTTCAACTTATCTGCTAACCAGTTGACATTAACCCTTCAAAGTCATATCTCATTATTTAATACAAATGAAAAACACTTTATTCCAGAACATTAAGTCAATAACATTAACAGACTGACCTTTGTAATTCATTTTTATCATGACTGATAAACCAGTTTAAGCTTTCACTATAGATACCCAAAGCTTTGCAGATTCCTTCTAGACTATTCATAATTTAACAAGATATTCTAACAACCACACACAAAAACATTACTTCCAACCTCTTTGTGTCTTAGAGCAAATCAGGGTTTTACTTCCTCATTTTTCATATCAAAAATTACAAAATTACAAGACTGAGCACAAAGGCCATAAGTTTTACCTGCCTCTCTTTCCTTCTCCAAGTCGGTAACTATGAAAATATGCTGAGCCTAAAATAGCAGTTGTGTACTGCCAGGTTAGCCTTAGTCATTTCCAAGCCAAAGGGGAATTGACAGATACCCCCTTTACAAGTCTAGTGTTTGTAAATATCAAATGAAATGACTTCATTCAGTCAATTATTTCTGGAGAAAGCTGGCAGAATAATGTGGTAATTAAACTGAGGACTGATGGAAACTATCAAACAGGAGAGCTGTTTTGCCTGGCAGTTCTAGTTAATGCTTTTTATGTGTTTTCATTTTTTAAAAATGTTTGAAATACTAGTGCACTTAAGAATTGCCTCTTCATTGTAACACCTATTTAATATTTCCAGTGAAGACAGTATAAGTAAAAGAAAGAATAAACTCAATTTTCTAGTATCTTCCTAGCATCGGTATGATTTCCTTATTTTAAGTACGGCAAATTCTGAAATCAAAACTCAACTGTATTCAAATGTAAGTAGAACATACCCATATCCCAAAGCCAGGCGCAATATAGTCAAGACTCAATTGCCTGGGTGCTTGGTACTCACGTCATACTGAATATGCTATCTACAGCATATGTTTGCCCAGTCTAGTCTAGTCTTCCTTAGGCTCCTCCAGCTGGCCACTAGCTTGATTCATTCATCCATCCATTCACTCATTCATTTAACAATATTAAGCCACCATCTCAAGCACTGTTTCTAGTTACCTGTAATGCAGCAGTAAACAAAAGTACTTTCCCACATATCTCTCCTGGCTACCTAATAGTTAGGCACTCAGGGACAAACAAAAGTTCTAACAAGAACAAATTGGAATCTAAAAGCTAATGGAAAGACCTCTGAATGCTTCCAGAAGGAAAAATGAAAGGTATTAAATTACTTACAGCTCTTCGTTTTTAAGTGATTTACCTATAAATAACCACCGTATGTCCCAGTTTTTGATGAATGGATACAAAGGTTTAAATAAGGGAAACTTTTAGGCCATTGGTAACAGTCTGAGCAATGGATTAAAAGAAGTTGGCAAAAATTTAGAACAACTTAGAAAAACCAAGCCAGAAAATTTCAAGGTAGAGTAAAACAAAGAGTTAATAACTAAAAACAGCTTCTGCTATACTTCATAAATATTTCTCATTTTTGATTATTAGAATATATGATATTTCTATCATACACTTAATAGTACATGACAGATAAATAAGCATACTGAATAAATAAGCATATTCTTTTGAAAATGTAAATATTACGGGGATGTGGAGTTAAGGACCATTGGACATTCACATTCTCTTCATGTGAGCTACAAAAAATTTAATGAGATGTTTGTCACAGTTCTCAGCAAACTTCAAAGTAATAAGAAAGCAGACAGTAGTAATTACAATTGTAGATTCTGAAGTTATACTGCTCAAGTATTCAAGAGCTAGTATTTGAATTCTAGCTCTATTACTAGCAAGCTGTGAAAGCTTGGAAAACAAACTTAATCTCTTGGTGCCTCAGTTTCCTCACCTATGAAATGGAATAATAGTTGAAACCTATGCTGGGACTTGCCCTTTTGACCAAAACTGAGTAAGTAACGGGGACTGAATGTATGTTGCCTTCTAAAACAACCCAAAATAAACAAACAAATAGAATGACAATAGTTTTCAAGACACTACTGGATATCAGGCAACCAAGGACAGTCATCTCTAAGAGATGAGAAAAAAAATGACGCAAGACCTATGATTGCCCGAGTTGACTACCTTGAGAGTTCTCAGACCACAGCATGTGGCGAGGAAGGGATCGGATAAATCCTAGAGAACTCCTCCTACATGAGGAGGTGAAGCTCAGACTGCAAGAACAAGGAAACTAGAATTTGTATGATAAGGTATCAGAAAGGAGTGAGCTGCATAGAAGAATAATCATGGAGACCAGCAGAAGGTCTCCCTCAAGGTGATCAGCACATGCAAGTGAGAAAACTGTATGAGCCAGATTCTATGGTTTGAATGTCTGTCCCCT